TGTAAAATTTTATTTATGCTTATTTATATATAAAATTTTGTATTATTAACATGTACGTTCCATCCCAAATTATTTTTAAATCAATCACTAACCTTAACTAAATCGAATCGATAATAATCTAATTTTTTGTGCTGATTTTCAGACAAATTCAAGGGCACTCAAAATATATTCTTAGGTCACTCAAAGTGTTAAATCTGTCCCATAATAGCTTCTTATTCATTCTTACTTGGGGTCTAATTAAGGAACAAAGAAGAAAGAAATGAAAATGAATTTTCCTCTTGTTTGGGGGAAGATTCAAGTTAATCGTTTGTGTATAGGGATGAAATTTTAATCCGATATCGGTAGGTTTTGATCCAATCCGATTTAATAGGATCAAATTTTTTTATAAAAAAATTAAGTTCGGGTCAAGTTGGGTCGTATTTTTTAAGGGGTGAGGTTGAGTTCGGGTGGAGGTTGAAAAAGCTCTGACCTGACCCGGGGTTAATAATGTAATTTTCTTTAAAATATAATTTTTTAATTAAGTCCTTATTTTATATCGGATTAGGTTAGGTCAGATCAGATTTATACTCTAATAAATTAAGAGGAAAATATTCACGATCCAAAAACGAGTTTGATATTTTATTTTTGGTTTAAATGCACCATTGCCCTATAAAGTATGTTATTTGTATCAAGTTGTCAGTTAAAGTATTTTTCGAGATGTTTTGTCTCTATAATTTGAATCGTTATCTCGTTTGACCTAAACCATTAATTAAATTAAAACAACAAGAGTAAATTACATATTTAACCACCCAACTTTTTTTATGGTTTTATTTTGGTCACCTAACTATTTTTTCTCTCAAAATTATCGCTAAACTTCAATTTTTAAAAACTTATGTAATAGATGAGATACAACCATAGGGTTTTGAACCCACGTGCTGTCATAGATGAGCCCATACCACTACTGTTTAGACTAGGGAATTGTTGAGAATTACCTTATGAAATTTAAATGTTATATCAGGGCTGGATCAGATCCAACACCCCAATTTGAAATCGAGTCAAACCCTAAAAATTAAATCCCCAATTCCCTTTCCCCGTCGTCGTCCACCGCCATGCAAGCTTCGTCCAGCCAGTGTGATTGTCACCACCCCTACCATTAGGACATTCGGCGTAGTGCGACCAAAGCCCCCTCGTCTATTGACTGTGTTGACTTGGATCGAAAAGTCAATATTTTTTTAAAAAGTTATATTTTATGTTTTTCGACGTCTTGATACCGAATCCGAAGTCTATTTCATCAAATTTGAACCCGATAAGCTATTTTTCAGCGTTTTATATCCTGATGCAATCCAAATTTCACGTTTAAGTTCCATTATAATGCAATTTATTTTTCCATGTATCTGAGAGATTATTGGACGTTGAAATCAAGTTTGAGGGTGATCGAGTAGAGTTTAAATGGTCGACTAGTGTGGCTCAAAAATCGAGGTAATACTTTACTACATTTTGTATGTTTTACGGAACTCATTGATAATTGGTAATTGCATGAATGGAAATTATTAGTCATGGGCTTATCGATGATTTTTCTGAAACTAGTATTGAATATGATAAAAGTTAGTAATATGAATAAAACTCGGATGACTTGGATAAGAAATTACGAAAATATCCTTATGATGTAAAAACTTATCTGAGTTGACCCCAATAGTGGAATTGATATGAGGATTCGTTTTTTTTACTTGATATAACTATAAATCCATCGATTGAACTTATGAATTATCTATAAGTCTTGATAATCAGTTCATAATCCCCGAGATCACAATATACTTGAATAGTCTGATTTTTGAATAAATATCTAAAGACTAATATACTAGATTATCCACAAGATCTGTAATAACTAAAATAACCTTAAAATGTCATACTTGATCCGATAGAACTATTGTTTCACATGTTAAATACTCAATCTATTTAGAGAAAACATGATAATCAATTTTTACCTCCGAGATGGAAATACATACTTAGAATTTCTGATTTCTTAGTAAACACTCAGAAACTAAATTATCGAAAGTACTTTTTTGTCCGAATTGTTTGAAGTGATTGAATTTTCTGATAATATTGAATCGAACAAAATGACTGAAATACCTCGAAGACTGAAATGACCTAAATGCCCTCATGGCCTAGAAATAAGTAGATGTCATTGGATAAACTCTGGAAACACTTACAAGCCTAAGTGTTGTACCACCTCTAAAGGTCTTGGAGCACAACCCAAACACATCGGTCATGCTGAATACAATTATAATACAGAAATGAATAATATCATTAGAATACATATATGTCCCCTCAAGATTTGTTTCAATGGTGATTGATTTGATGGTGATTAGTTCAACTAGTGTAATCAGTATTAAGAAGCAAATATTCATAAAATATTTTGGTCCAAATGATTAACAAGTATCACAGTACTGGATTTGATCAATCGAATTGACTTGATAACCTAATAAATCAACGTGAATCTTAAATACCGTAAATCATCGTTTGATCCTTGTTGGAAGTTATTAAGAATTCTTCAGGAATGAAAATGTCTGAAACACCTCTGATAGCATGAATGGTGGAACCACGCCCGTTATATCTGAATCTTTAATAACTATGATGTAAAGGTTCCGAATACCTTCAAATGCATCCGAATTTTAAAGGGTCATGAAACATAAATTCTTAAATGTTTGATTAGATCCGTTAGTAATCGAACCCTTTTAACAGGGATCAATCTGAAATCCGATCAATCTACTGTCCATGATATTAGAAGACCTTGACTGGTCGTATTTAATGGAAATTTTCGTAGACGTGAGGTTTGGACTGAATCGCCACTTCAAGTAGCTAGAGCTACATGGATTGAAATATTCGGAATGCCCCTGCATTGTTGGAATCAATCAACTTGTAAAAGGATAGCTGAGTTATGGGGAAATTTTAAGGCACTTGAAGAAAACACTTTCCGTACGAAAGACTATGAAAAACTACCAATTCTGGTCACAACGAATCATGAAAGAAGAATAGAGGAGGTGGTAGAAATCGAAATAACCAACAACATCTATTTAGTTCGTGTGCTGGAAAAAGGATTCTCTGATAACTCTTACGAAATTTTAAAAGATAATTTGGTCGAAAAGCGAAGTATTGGCTGAAAATCGGGAGGCTAGTCCATCGGAGTCTTCTTCGAAAGAGAATCAGGTTGATCGGTCGAAGGCCGGTATGGAAAGTGAATCTCCTTTGGGGAGGAAGCAGTTAATGTTCTGTTAAATGGAAAAGACAAGATGGAAAGTTATTCAACAACTATACCGGTTTTCAATTGGAGCAATGGTGAAGATGGAGAGATTCATTTACGTTGCATGGCGAAGATACTCAGTGACAACAACCTTTTTGATCGGCAATGATGATAAAAGAGTTATTGAGGAGACAAAAAATTGGGATGTAGTAGCTTTTATGAATTGTCAAAACACATGAATGAAATGATAACTAATTAGGAGATCCTAACCTTAGGAAAGCAAAAGGGTCAGAAGAAGAAGAAGGAGGAGAAGCATAGTGAAAGTTGTTTGAAAGGTTGAGTGCGAGGCTTGTGATACATTTCCCTCAAATGTTTCATAGATTTTTGTTCCGACTTTGTGGTTGGCTTTCTTGGATTGGCTTGTCTGTCTGCAGGGATTTTTCTGATTGCTTTGTCACACAATGAAAGATGTTGTGGTTATGTTTCCTCCCATTTGACTTTTCTCGAGGTGTTCTACGTTATAGTTTTGGGGAAATTTGGAGATGATTTACGTGGTTGACAGTCAATAATGAGTAGTTATCTGTATTCTTAAGTGTTGAGTTATCTAAGTTGTAGTGTTTTGAAGATTATAGGTACAATATTAGTGTTTTGGAGTTCGTTGTTGTTGCCGATGGCTTATTTCCAAGGTGGGGGCTGCATTTTTTGTACCGCTCTCGTCCGTTAGAGCTCAATTTCATATCCTCTTATTATTAATAATAGGGAAAAGTATAGAAATGGTCCCCTGACTATAGAGTATTGCTTTATTAAGCTCCTCGATTATTAAAAGTTAAAAAATAGTCCTCCAACTATAGAATGTTGTTTTGTTAAGTCCATCAACTATAAAATGTTGTTTTGTTAAGTCCATCGACTATTATACGTTACAAAATAGCCACTCATCTATTCATTATGTTCTAAACTCTTGCTTTTCCTTTAAAAAAACCACGGTTGTCTAAGTTGGACGATTACATAATGATTGCGATATAATAATTGTTTGAGATTCTATAATTAAATTTAATCATACTACAGTCAACAAGTTAACGTTCAATTCAGAATATTGTCAAATTTTAACATAAAAAGACGAGTTTAGAACATAATAAATAGTTATGTGACCATTTTTTAACTTTTGATAACCGAGAGGCTCAACAAAACAACACTCTATATTTTTCCCTGAATGTTTATGTTTTTGGTTAGCTATGATGAAAAATTTATGTCGGAGTGGTCCTTAAACTCGTATTGAATCTTGATTTAAATAAATATTAAAGTAATATTAAAAATTACTAAAAGTAAAAAAAATTAAAAAAATATCTATAATTATACAAAGGATTAACTTGAATTATCACAAATAAGAGGAAAATGAATTTTCCTTTCTTTCTTCTTTGTTCCTTAATTAGACCCCAAGAAAGAATGAATAAGGAAGTCCATTAGGCAATCTTTCTCTTTTCCATTCTCTTATTAAACTGATATCATTTTGTAATCCTCTTCATTGGGTGTCAAAATCTTACAGTCTGCTCTTCCTTTTCCATGGAATAGGTAACAGAAGTCTTCAAAGATAACGAACGATCTTCACTTGAGCTTGGGACAGTTTCAAGTACCTCCTAACTGTCAAGATCGAAAAAAAACCAGCTAAGGAACAGTGTATATCATAGTTTGTAACAGCTATCTGTTCTAATTAGAAAGATTATAGTTTCTAAAGGAAATACTTACCTCTGATTTCGAAACATGAATCATAATTGAGTTTGAGTCACCTAGATCTTCTTTTTCTTCTTTTCCCATGGTTTTTGAACTTGTGAACCCATTTGTTTCCCCACTCATTCAGCACTGTAAATCCGATACATATCCCAGCGACCAAACCACTACCATAGCCTGTCAAAACAATTTGCCATGTAGACATTGCATCTAACCATGAATCTTTTACTTCTTCCCTTGGAAGACCAGCTTCATTGCATTTCCTTGACAATGGCGGCCCACATAGTTTTGGGTTCCCAATGTAAGAATTGTTTGAAAATGTAATGAATTGGTTGCTTTGTGGTATGCTCCCTTCAAGTTGGTTGTAAGACAAGTTCAATGCTGCCAGGAAAGTTAGACCTGTAAGCTGTGGACGAATCTTCCCCGAGAGCTTGTTGAGTGAGAGATCCAAAGACTCAAGCTCTTTTAGATTGTCAAGTCTTGATGGGATTTCGCCAGAGAAACTATTATGGGACAAGTTTAGCACTTTGAGTGCACTGAGTATTTGTATTTCCTCTGGTATTCTTCCATGGAAACTATTTCTGGAAATGTCAAGACAAGTAAGAGTGGTCAAGACTTTCTTATAGAACAGTTCCATCCCTTTGTTGACAATTTTAATAGAGTCTTCATAGTATTCCCCTCCAATGTACTCCAACTTAGCTTTTTTATCATTACTCATCTGCATCATTGCCTTCAAACATTGCAGAAATTCAATGGACAAGTCACCTGAAAAATTATTGGAAGCAATGTCCAATATGCGTAGCTTTAGAAAATCACTTTTAGCACCAAATTCTGTAATTGGACCATAAAACCTGTTTGCTCGTAGAACGAGTACCTTCAAGGAAGGCAACTTTGCCAACCAAAACGGGAATGTATCATGAATCATGTTGTTTCTGACATCCAGAACCTCAAGTTTAGAGCAAGTGGCTAGTGATCTTGGCAGCTTCCCTTCCAATTTATTCCCACCAATTCTGAGCGACCTTAATTGAGTGGCTTGAAGGAAGTCGATGGACAATTCTCCAGAAAACTCGTTAGAAGCAATGTCCAGCACATCCAAAGCTGGGAAAGCAATTTTGTTTTTGAACTGTCTAATTTGACCATAAAATCTGTTTTCCCGCAATATTACAAACTTTAAGGAAGGCAATTTCTCCAACCAAAATGGGAATGTATCACGCAGCATGTTGTTTCCCACATCCAAAACTCGAAGCTCAGTGCATTTCTCCAGTGATCTTGGCAACGTCCCTTCTAATGTATTCTCACCGACTTCGAGAAACATTAGTTGGGTTGCTTTTGAAAATTCTGGTAAGATTCCACTGAAGTTATTTCCTTGTAGGTCCAAGAACATGAGAGCACTCATATTGCCTATGCAATTTGGAATGGAGCCACTCAAATTGTTATGAGATGCAACGAAAGTGCGTAGATGACTCATTTCACAAATAGGTCGAAGTAAAGAGGCTTGCAAAGGAGTTGAAATCCGGTCCGGTAAATGTTGGTCCAAAGATGAGAGATGGTTATTAGAAAGATGCATATGAACTAAACTTTTCTTCCACACCCAGTTTGGTATTGCACCACTTATTTGGTTATTCGAAAGGCTGAGTTCTTCCAAGTTTTCTAGACTCCTTAAGAACTCTGGAAATGCACTTAGGTTACAGGAGTCCAGACATAATCCCCTCAGATTTGGCAAAGAGAAGTTTGCATCAGTCAAAGCAAGCTGGTTTGAAAAATCAATGGGATTAAAAGAAAGGTTTACATGAGAAAGAGTGTTCTTCCACAACCAATTAGGCACAACACCATGGATATGGTTGTTAGAAAGATCTAGGATGGTCAGCTTATCTTGTGTTTTGATGAATTCTGGAAATTCAGTAAGGTTGCATGACCTTAGCCATAGTATCTCTAATTTGGGAAAAGTAAAACATCTGTTGTTACTTTCAATTAACAAGCTTATATCCGATAAATCGAGAACCCTTAAATTCTTGAGTTGAACAAACAAGGGAAGCTTCCAGGAACTAAAGTCATTACCCTCAATAGAAAGCCATTCAAGCCTTGGGAGTTGAAGGATTGAATTTGGGATTTTTCCTGCTAAATCATTATTTCCTAAATATAATTCCTCAATCAATGAAGACGAAGCATCAGGAAACTCGTCAATTTTTCCAATCAATTGGTTTTCTCCGAGAGACAAGATCCGCAATGATGGAAGGGTAAACAAAGAAGAATTTATTGATCCAGAAAGCCTGTTCCCATCCAAATATAGATATGCAAGATTTGGAACTCCAAATCTATGAAATGGAGGGATTAAACCACTGAGATTGTTACCTGATAGATCCAGGATAACCAAGCGACTAAGATTTGCAATTGATGATGGAATGGATCCCAAAATATTACAACGACTAAGAGTTAAATCTGTCAAGAACTTAAGGTTGCCTATTGATTCAGGAAGTTTCCCACTGAAATTTGAACCAGAAAGAGACAAAATCCGTAAAGCACTGTTTGATGGAAATTCTGGCAACTGACCCATCAGTTGCTCATTATATGAAAGGTCAATTCCTTGAATTTTTGGCAATGAGAGGATTTCAGTTGGTAAAGACCCACTTAAATCGCAATTTCGCAAACTGAGAGAAACCAGACGAGAGGAAATTTCCAAGAAATTTGGAGGTAAAGAAGAGATTAGATTATGGTTAAGGACAAGTTTGGAAAGAACAGAAAGTCTTGACAGTGAAGAACATAATGGACCTTTTAAACCACAACTTGACAGACTCAACACTTGCAGGTTGGAAAGTACAGAAGAAATAGTTTCACACCATTCACTGCTTTGAAATGAAATGTCCACTCCATCCAAATGGAGCTCTCTGAGATTCCTCAAATTCTTGATCAATGTCTTGAAGTTTGGTTTCTCTAGTTTCAGATTAGGTGGATCATAATAATAACAGTTTTTGTGTAAGACAGATCAAGAGAAACTAACCTTGTTAAGAACGAGATCTCCACTGGAATTTGGCCATGGAAACATGAGCTTGAAAGGTTGAGATGAGTTAGATTTTGGAGTTTATCAAACCCATACGAAAGCAGAGTGGTGTTGAAGTTGTTTCCAGCAAGGTTAAGGCGTTGAAGATGATGGAGATCGAAAATGGAGTGAAAGCTGCCTGAAAGGTTTTTGTAACTAAGATCAAGTCCAATGACATGACCAGAAGCATCACATGTAACTCCTTCCCAATAGCAACAATCAGTGTTGACATCCCAAAGCTCAAATGTAACAACCCGAATATTTATAAAATAATATTTAATTGAAATTGGACGTTAATTGTGAAAATTGGTGAAATTTAATGACTGAACTAAAATTTATGAAAAGTTATAGGCCATTTTATAAGTTGAAGGAAATTCAGGGACCAAGCCCTGAATTCCTCCAAGGAGTGTAGGCTTATAATTTAAGCGTGGTTTCTCATTGTAAATCAGAAAACACAATTGAGAATTTGCTCCATTTTTCCTTCTCTCGTACCCTTACTTCCAAGTCCGATTCCGACGCCGTTCGACGTCCAATCGTAAAATTGAAACCACCGTTGTGTTCATCATCAAGCGAGGAACAAACCCTTCAAATTAATTGAAGTGAAACGCTTCCAAACGTCGGGAATTTTCAGTCAAAGCATCGTTGTTTTTTTTAGCTCTATCGCCGGGAAAAACTTAAATTCACCGCCGATCGTTGTTCCGTTTACGACACCTCCTGCACCATCGTGTTCCTTGTGTCGTTGCGAGTTCGCCGGTGTCAACCTTGTTCGCCGTCGACAACGGCGCGTGAGGAGGTGGAGCAGTCAAAGATTCGGCCGAGTTGAAATACGAGCTCTCCGCCGTTCAAAAATTTGAACCGATCGTTGTAAGTATCTCGAAATCGCTCAAAATAATTTTTAGAAATTTTTTCGGGAATTTTCCGACACCGTGGCACTGTTCACGCGCCGCACGCGCCGCCGCAGGGAGAGTGAGCTGCTGGAAAACCGGTTTGACCAGTTTTGAACCGGTTTGACCGGTCTGAACCGGTTTGACCGGTTTGACCGGTCTGAACCGGTTTGACCGGTCTGAACCGGGTTGACCCGACCCGACTGTTGACCCGACCCGACCGTTGACCCGACCCGACCGTTGACCGTTGACCGTGACCGTTGACCGTTGACTTTCTTTGACTAAAACTTAAAATGGCTTTGACCGACCCTTAAACGATCGTAAATCTTTTCCGAGTATACCTATCCTGATAGTTTTCGACGTGCCAAATCCATTTCCGCAGTTCGTTTCGCCAAATTCAAACCCGAAGGTCTCCAAATCAACGGTCAAAGTGGTTGACTTTGACTTTGACCAAGAATCTAAATTTCCGAAAAGTCATACTTTATATTTTTCGATGTCCTGATTCCGTTTGGCCAAATTCAGACTCGAAATACCCCAAGTTGATAGTCAAACTCGAAAAATGCTTATATACTTAAGAAGACTAGCTTTGAACAATTAAATAGGATTTGGGACTGATAGATTATTATTGTTTGAAGGTACAAGAGACTCTCCGGATCGTTCGACAGCTCGACCCAGCTCTTCTAGATCAGTTAAACCACGTGTGCCAGTATTCACCCGTTCGAAAATTGTAGCAGAGCGTGGTGAAACCAGCAATCAGTAAATTTGCTATTTGAACCTATTGTCGAGGTGTGTTCCCTACTTATTATTGAACTGTTTTATTGGTTTTAATATGTGGTACACCGAATTCATTGGCTATTGTTTTATGGATGCACCAATTTAATGTGACAATTTATGGAATATGGCTGCTATCTAATTTTTGTTTTGAAATGGTATATGATTACCATGTTTTTGGATTTATGGAATTTATGTCACGGTGCAATTGAATTTTGGAATTGAAATACGATGGAATAGCTCTGATCAAGCTAACTGGGCCTAATGTGACTCTTGAGGGCCCCAAGATGTTTTATTAGGTCGGCTTTCCTTTGTTGTGTGCTTAGGGTAAGCTATATGGACTTATTGACTTGGGCTTAAGGATACAAGCTTCATAGCCTATCCTTAAGTCGGCTTTCTTTTTGCTATTTGCATAAAGTAAGTTATATGGAAAATACTTTTGGGAACTACTGATGGTGTACCAGAAAAGGGTTTAAACTATGATTTTCAAAAAGTTAAACTCTTTTACGAATTTGTGAGATTACTGGACTATGATTTGTACCTATTGTGATTTTATGGAAATGTTGGGACACACTGAGCCTAGCTCACCTTTTGAAAATGTTTTCCCCTTTCAGATACTATTGGTTAGATACCTTGGTTCGAGCACTTGGAGGATCAACATATCTCTTGAAGTAAATCAAATTGTAATGTTTTTATCTGGCAAGTTGACTTTATTTTGGTGACATGGATCTTATTTTAAAATATCAGATTTTATAATGATAACTCTTTTGCTAATACTGCTCGGTTTATTGTGATATTGAATTTGAAGACATGTTTTAAATTAAATTATTATTTATTGGTACTATATTTACGAGTTGGATTTTGATAGTATAATTTGTTTATAATTTCATGTTATTTATAATGTGATTTTATATTGATGGAATAACGGTTTCGAAAAATGTTTAATAATCATAATGTGATCTACTAGATTTAGTCGAAACGCATAGGCCGGGTCTAGGGGGTTACATTTATTGGTATCAGAGCTTTTGGTTTTTAACCCTCGGATTGTGTATGAGTCCACATTGAAAATACAGTTTTGAAATATTTTACAAAACGAGTTACTAAGGCCATGTCACAAAGTTATTAAGATTTTAACTATGTTCGAGACTCCAAGTACTTATCTAACCTTAAGTTTATCTTCTGTAGTAATCTCGAGATCTACCAAAATGAGTGCTAGACGTGGTCGTCGAACTAGTCGTGGACGAGGTCGAGTAGCTAGATTTGCAGATCCGATTGATGAGATACGAGTAGATCCCCCACCTCCAATAGGTGATCCTGCTCCTACGACACCAACGAATATGCCACCTACCGATGGTATTGGCATGACTACACCGATCATAGGAGCGACCGATATTGAGTCAGAGTCTACTGGAGTTGCATTGGATGAGAATTTTAGTAGACAGTTTCTGCAGTTAATACAGGGAGCAGTTAGAGCTACTGGTGTTGTATCTGAGGTTCCTATTTCACAGACGTTGATTGCCAATGGAGTTAGAACTTTTGGGGGACAGATTGGTGGAGCTCCTACTGAAGCTGAGGATTGGCTCCAGGATACAGAGAGACGCATGGATCAGTTGGGTTTGGACTCAACTAAGAGATATCTGGGTGTTGTAGCAATGTTAGATGGTAATGCCTACACTTGGTGGGAGTCAGTGACCAGTAGTGTTCCTGCCGATCGTTTGACCTGGAATTTCTTTAAGGATCACTTTCGGAGTCGTTTTCTGGGAGAGCGCTACTTAGCTCAGAGACGACAACAGTTTCAAGACCTGGTTCAGGGAGACATGACTGTTTCTGAATATGAGATCGAGTTCCTGAAATTGCTGAAGTATGGATTCAGTATGGTACCTACGGAGAGAGATCGATGTCGTAAATTTTCCCTTGGACTCAGATACGAGCTGCGTAGGCAAGTTGTAACCCATCAGGATGAGATATTTGATGTGCTTGTGGGCAGAGCCAAAGATGCGGAAGAGGTGGAGGTTTTAGCTTCTGGTAGAGAGCGTGTTGATCAAGATCGATCTAAGAAATTTTCAGGCCCGATGGAGTCATCAGCACAGTCCGGAAAGAGGACTCGTACTTCAGCCCCTCAGAGAAGCAATACACGTTTCAGGCCTGCAGCATCCTCACCTTTAGCTGTCAGTCGAGGCGGTTCCTCGTCGTATTATAATGGGCCTCTTTGTGAGTATTGTGGTAAACAGCACTCAGGAGAGTGTCGTAAGAAGATGGGTCTTTACTATCAGTGTGGATCTAGTGGTCATTATCGGAGGGATTGTCCTCAGTTAGTTTCGTTTGAGCAGACCACTACCCAAACTCCTGTGCGTTCGCAGACTACAGTACAGACCCCAATTAGAGATCGTAGTCAATGAAAGACTCGAGGATCAGCATCCAAGACAGTCAGTAGAGCCCGACCTCAGCAAAATTGAGGGCCAACAGCTTCTGAGGCTAGACAGCCAGCTTTGGTTTATGCAACTAGACGTCGTGATGACAGAGATGAGCCTGAGGTTATTGCAGGTACATTTACTATTTATTCTACCCCATACTTTGCATTATTGGACAATGGTTCCACTCACTCCTATGTATCAAGCTCAGTATCTCGAAACCTTCAGATTCCGATCGAGAACACTGAAAATACTGTTACAGTTACAAGTCTAGTAGGACAAGCGGTATTACTGAATAAAGTATTCCGGCGTTGTCCTCTCGAGGTTCAGGGAGAAATTTTTCTCGCTGATCTTATGGAGCTTCCTTTAGAGGAGTTCGATCTAATTCTTGGAATGTATTGGTTGAATAAACACAAGGTAAAGTTGGATTGCGAATACAAGCGGGCTACTCTGAAAAATTCAGATGGTCAGACTATTGTGTTAATTGGTGAACGGCGTGGTTATCTCTCCAATATAGTTTCAGCGATGGAAATTGATCGTATGATCCGGAAGGGATATGAGACCTTCATTGCTTGTATTTTGAACACCAAGGGTGCATTGTCCACGATCGAGGAGATTTGTACAGTTAGCGAGTTTCCTGATGTTTTTCATGAGGAGTTGCCTGGGTTACCTCCTGATAGAGAGGTAGAGTTCGAGATTGAGACTTATCCGAGATCGTCACCTATTTCTATGGCACCTTATCGTATGGCTCCAAGGGAACTTAAAGAGTTGAAAGTCCAATTGTAAGAATTATTCGATCGAGGATTTATCCGACATAGTACTTCACCATGGGGAGCTCCAGTTATGTTCGTGAAAAAGAAGGATGGGTCGCTAAGATTATGTATTGACTATCGGAAATTGAACAAGATGACGGTCAAGAATAAATACCCACTACCCAGGATTGATGATTTATTTGATCAATTGCGAGGAGCTACTGTATTCTCTAAGATTGATCTTTGTTCGGGGTATTATCAATTGAAAGTTAAAGGATCAGATATTGCAAAAACGGCTATTCGCACTAGATATGGTCATTATGAATTCTTAGTGATGCCTTTTGGTTTGACGAACGCTCCTGCAGCTTTCATGGATTTGATGAATCGGGTGTTCCGACCATATTTGGATCAATTTGTGGTGGTCTTCATTGACGATATTCTGATCTATTCTCGTACTGAGGCAGAGCATGACGAGCATTTGAAGATCGTTCTGCGAACTTTGAGAGAGCATCGTCTATATGCCAAACTAAGCAAGTGTGAATTTTGGCTTCAAGAAGTGTCGTTTCTGGGGCATATTATTTCAGCGCGAGGTGTTCAGGTCGATCCCAGCAAGATAGAGGCTATTATGAATTGGAAACGACCTAAGAACGTATCTGAGATCTGCAGTTTCTTGGGCTTGGCTGGTTATTATCGACGTTTTGTTGAGGGCTTCTCGATCATTGCTTCTCCTTTGACAAAGTTGTTAAGGAAGAATGTGCCGTTTGACTGGGGCGAGGCACAACAGGAGAGCTTTGAGAAATTAAAGGCGGTTTTGACTCAAGCACCGGTGTTGATTCAACCAGAGTCCGGGAAGGATTTTACAGTGTATAGTGATGCTTCACACTCAGGACTTGGCTGTGTTTTAATGCAGGAAGGTAAAGTGGTGGCTTATGCATCCCGTCAGCTGCGACCTCATGAGTGTAATTATCCTACTCACGATTTGGAGTTAGCAGCAGTGATTTTTGCCTTGAAGATTTGGAGACACTATCTTTATGGAGAGAAGTGTTATATTTTCACGGATCATAAGAGCTTAAAGTATCTCCTGACCCAGAAGGAGCTTAATTTGAGACAACGGCGCTGGCTAGAGCTTCTGAAGGATTATGATTGTGTGATTGATTATCACCCTGGTAAAGCTAACATTGTAGCGGATGCTTTGAGTCGAAAGACGGTATCGGAGTTGAGATCTTTAATGGCCAGGATGAATTTATATGATGATGGCACTTTGTTAGCAGAATTGCAAGTTAAGCCGACCTTGGTTGATGAGATCAAGGCTAAGCAGCCCTTTGATAGGTCCTTGCTTCCCATCTTTGAGCAAGTAGAGCAGGGGACAAGCTCAGATTACGCCCTTGACCGGGATGAAGTTCTATGCTTCAAAGGTCAGTATTGTGTGCCTGATGATGCTGATTTGAGACAGACTATCCTTACTGAGTCTCATAGTAGTCCATATGCTATGCACCCCGGTGGAGATAAGATGTATCGGAATTTGAGAGAGAGGTATCATTGGATCGGCATGAAGAAGGACATCTCAAATTTTGTAGCGAGGTGTTTGACTTGTCAACAAGTTAAGGCAGAACATCAACATCCATCAGGTTTGTTACAGCCTATTAAGATTCCTGAATGGAAATGGGAGCGTATTACTATGGATTTTGTTACTAGCTTGCCTATGACTCCTTCGAAAAAAGATTCAGTTTGGGTGATTGTTGACAGACTTACAAAGTCAGCTCACTTCATTCCTGTGCGAGTAAATTATACTTTGGACAAGCTGGCAAGATTGTATACTTCAGAGATTGTCAGATTGCATGGTGTTCCATTGTCTATTATTTCTGATCGAGATCCGAGATTTACTTCGAGATTTTGGAAGGCGCTACATACGGCTTTGGGAACAAGATTGGATTATAGCACATCCTTTCACCCACAAACTGATGGTCAATCTGAGAGAGTGATTCGGATACTTGAGGATATGTTGCGGGGTTGCGTAATCGATTTTCATGGTAGCTGGGAGAAATTTTTGCCTTTGGCTGAATTTGCTTACAATAACAGTTATCAGACCAGCATTCGTATGGCACCCTATGAAGCACTCTATGGGCGTAAATGTCGCACTCCGATCTGTTGGACTGAGTTGCGTGATAGGAAAACGTTGGGACCTGAGTTAGTGCGAGAGACGGAGGACACAGTCAGATTGATACGTGACCGTTTGAAAGAGGCATTTGATAGGCAGAAGTCTTATGCAGATCAGAGAAGGAAAGATATACAATTTGAGGTTGGTGATAAGGTCTTCCTAAAAGTTTCACCGTGGAAGAAAGTATTGAGATTCGGGCGTAAGGGTAAATTGAGTCCACGATTTATTGGGCCGTATCGTATTCTGAAGAAAGTTGGACCTGTTGCTTATCAGCTTGAGTTGCCTTCCCACCTCAGTCGTATTCATGATGTTTTTCATGTGTCTATGTTAAGGCGATACCGTCCAGATCCAGGTCACATTATTCAGGTTGAAGAAGTAGAGCTGAGACCGGATTTGTCATATGAGGAGGAGCCCATTCAGATTTTAGAAAGAAATGAAAGAGTTCTTCGGAATAGGCGAATTCCAATGGTCAAAGTTCAGTGGAGTAATCGAGGCCCCTCAGAAGCTACTTGGGAGACATTGGAGTCAATGGAGGCTCAGTTTCCTCAACTATTCTCATAAGGTAAATTTCGAGGACGAAATTTCTTGTAGAGGGGGAGAATTGTAACAACCCGAATATTTACAAAATAATATTTAATTGAAATTGGACGTTAATTGTGAAAAATGGTGAAATTTAATGACTGAACTAAAATTTATGAAAAGTTATAGGCCATTTTATAAGTTGAAGGAAATTCAGGGACCAAACCCTGAATTCCTCCAAGGAGTGTAGGCTTATAATTTAAGCGTGGTTTCTCATTGTAAATCAGAAAACACAATTGAGAATTTGCTCCATTTTTCCTTCTCTCGTACCCTTACTTCCAAGTCCGATTCCGACGCCGTTCGACGTCCAATCGTAAAATTGAAACCACCGTTGTGTTCATCATCAAGCGAGGAACAAACCCTTCAAATTAATTGAAGTGAAACGCTGCCAAACGTCGGGAATTTTCAGTCAAAGCATCGTTGTTTTTTTTAGCTCTATCGCCGGGAAAAACTTAAATTCACCGCCGATCGTTGTTCCGTTTACGACACCTCCTGCACCATCGTGTTCCTTGTGTCGTTGCGAGTCCGCCGGTGTCAACCTTGTTCGCCGTCGACGGCGGCGCGTGAGGAGGTGGAGCAGTCAAAGATTCGGCCGAGTTGAAATACGAGCTCTCCGCCGTTCAAAAATTTGAACCGATCGTTGTAAGTATCTCGAAATCGCTCAAAATAATTTTTAGAAATTTTTCCGGGAATTTTCCGACACCGTGGCACTGTTCACGCGCCGCACGCGCCGCCGTAGGGAGAGTGAGCTACTGGAAAACCGGTTTGACCAGTTTTGAACCGGTTTGACCGGTTCGAACCGGTTTGACCGGTCTGAACCGGGTTGACCCGACCCGACCGTTGACCGTTGACCATTGACTGTTGACCGTGACCGTTGACCGTTGACTTTCTTTGACTAAAACTTAAAATGGCTTTGTCCGACCCTTAAACGACCGTAAATCTTTTCCGAGTATACCTATCCTGATAGTTTTCGACGTGCCAAATCCATTTCCGCAGTTCGTTTCGCCAAATTCAAACCCGAAGGTCTCCAAATCTACGGTCAAAGTGGTTGACTTTGACTTTGACCAAGAATCTAAATTTCTGAAAAGTCATACTTTATATTTTTCGATGTCCTGATTCCGTTTCCGCAATCCGTTTGGCCAAATTCAGACTCAAAATACCCCAAATTGATAGTCAAACTCGAAAAATGCTTATATACTTAAGAAGACTAGCTTTGAACAATTAAATAGGATTTGGGACTGATAGATTATTATTGTTTGAAGGTACAAGAGACTATCCGGATCGTTCGACAGCTCGACCCAGCTCTTCTAGATCAGTTAAACCACGTGTGCCAGTATTCACCCGTTCGAAAATTGTAGCAGAGCGTGGTGAAACCAGCAATCAGTAAATTTGTTATTTGAACCTATTGTCGAGGTGTGTTCCCTACTTATTATTGAACTGTTTTATTGGTTTTAATATGTGGTACACCGAATTCATTGGCTATTGTTTTATGGATGCACCAATTTAATGTGACAATTTATGGAATATGGCTGCTATCTAATTTTTGTTTTGAAATGGTATATGATTACCATGTTTTTGGATTTATGGAATTTATGTCACGGTGCAATTGAATTTTGGAATTGAAATACGATGGAATAGCTATGATCAAGCTAACTGGGCCTAATGTGACTCTTGAGGGCCCCAAGATGTTTCATTAGGTCGGCTTTCCTTTGCTGTGTGCTTAGGGTAAGCTATATGGACTTATTGACTTGGGCTTAAGGATACAAGCTTCATAGCCTATCCTTAAGTCGGCTTTCTTTTTGCTATGTGCATAAAGTAAGCTATATGGAAAATACTTTTGGGAACTACTGATGGTGTACCAGAAAAGGGTTTAAACTATGATTTTCAAAAAGTTAAACTCTTTTACGAATTTGTGAGATTACTGGACTATGATTTGTACCTATTGTGATTTTATGGAAATGTTGGGACACACTGAGCCTAGCTCACCTTTTGAAAATGTTTTCCCCTTTCAGATACTATTGGTTAGATACCTTGGTTCGAGCACTTGGAGGATCAACATATCTCTTGAAGTAAATCAAATTGTAATGTTTTTATCTGGCAAGTTGACTTTATTTTGGTGACATGGATCTTATTTTAAAATATCGGATTTTATAATGATAACTCTTTTGCTAATACTGCTCAGTTTATTGTGATATTGAATTTGAAGACATGTTTTAAATTAAATTATTATTTATTGGTACTATATTTACGAGTTGGATTTTGATAGTATAATTTGTTTATAATTTCATGTTATTTATAATGTGATTTTATATTGATGGAATAACGGTTTCGAAAAATGTCTTTAATAATCATAATGTGATCCACTAGATTTAGTCGAAACGCATAGGCCGGGTCTAGGGGGTTACATCAAATTTGGAAGAGAAAGTAAAATTTGGGGCATAGTAAAGATCCAGCTGCAGTTGCAACAGAGGAGATCTCTGGTCATCAAGGCAATATTGCTTTTGGAGATCAGCTTGAGATAGGGAAATGGAAAACACAAGAGAAAAGAGAGAGGAGAGTGAAACTAGGAAAGGAAGAGCCTTCATGTCTGCTGGCTATGGCTGTGAAGGAAGACTGTTCCCAGACAAATTATTTATAGACAAATCCTCATTGTTAGACCCCTCCCCTCCATTATTTTGAATACTTGGAAAAGAATCTTTTTCCATAGTTTATTCTGAGGGCATGAATTTTCTATTCATAAACTTTGCTTTAATATGTCCTTGTTTCACACTTTGCTTTAGGTCCTAGCATACTTTTGTTGACTTCTGTCCGGTCATAGGGTATATTGAAGTAGGTATTCTCGTAGAAAGAGACCTTTGTTGTTACAACAACCTGCATGTGTGACTGTCCATATAGAAAAACAAACACCTTTTGTTCTTTTTCAATGACACCGAATTTGTATTGTTTTATGCATTATATATATATATATATTTGGATAGAGATAAAAGAAAATGAATCATAGAGTATGGCAGATCCAAACAGAAGAAAAGTGCAGTTAAATGGGAAACCATGATCTTTTCCCATCAATACATAGAGCAGCTGAAAGAGAATCCCAGAGAAAGACAAACACCTATGTCCATATATACAGAAATACAAACGCCTCTGACCACATGTACAGAAAATACAGACTATTTTCTAACAAAGCGAACCAATGAAATTCGAGGGCTGCATTTCACTAACGTAGCGACCAGGTAACTAAAAAGAAAATGAAGAACAAACAAGTGGGGAAAGGGTACAAACCAATGCAAGTCATGTAATGGATGACGGTGTAGGCTCCTCTTTTGGTTATGGCGGATCCTTCGAAAAGCTTATCAACTCCTCTTTAGGGAAGTCTTTCTTTTTCTTCTTCCTTGTCTATTGGCGGATCCGAAATCGGAAGAATTGGGTTCTTGAAGGAATTCATCGCCTTGGAAAAGCCATGACCATGGTGATTTGGAGGGTTTTCTTCTCGGTTCAATTCCTTCAACCTTTGTCTTTGCATGCAAAAAGAGGTCGTGTTCCAATTGATGTTCAACTTCAACGAGAATGCGTGGATGAAATGGAAACATACATTCAAAGAAGAAGAAGATGATGAAGAAGAATGGGAAGGTGGATCGAAACCCAAGCCTTCAATTGAAGTTTGTAGCAGAAAGGAAAGGGGAAGAGAAGTAAAATGAAAATAAAATCCTAAACATTATATATGTGGTGATATTTTTGTTAATAAGTTAATATATAGTATAATATAGTTAAAATTATTTGGGATGAGTCGGGTCAGAGTTTTTTAACCTCAAATTCAGTTTCGACTCGAAATTGATTTTTTTTTACATTCTACAAGATCTTACCCAAACCCGAAATTCTTTTAAAAAATTTATTTTTATTGAACCGAGTCGAATCGGAGTCTATCATATTCGATTTAAATTGCCATCCTACTTGTACATATTCACATGCACGGCAACACATAATTAGTCAGCAATGTTCTGGGCAATTAAGTTTTAATTATGACCCAAGTTGGGTGAATTCACGAGATAATGTTCTCGAATTTTTTTTTTCACGATATGGTGCACATCCCAGATTAATTGCTGGAATGGGGTGAATTCAACAGTGATCGCCATAGGACGCCATGCAATCCAGGCGATCTTGTAGGACGCCATGCAATCCAGGCGACATACGGGGTGACATACGAGGGTGACATACGAGCCATATACGAGCCATACGAGCCAATGGGGAGGGTGACATACGAGCCATATATGACCATGGTGATTTGGAGGGTTTTCTTCTCGGTACAATTCCGTCAACCTTTGTCTTTGCATGCAAAAAGAGGTCGTGTTCCAATTGAGGTTCAACTTCAACGAGAATGCGTGGATGAAATGGAAACATACATTCAAAGAAGAAGAAGATGATGAAGAAGAATGGGAAGGTGGATCGAAATCCAAGCCTTCAATTGAAGTTTGTAGCAGAAAGGAAAGGGGAAGAGAAGTAAAATGAAAATAAAATCCTAAACATTATATATGTGGTGATATTTTTGTTAATAAGTTAATATATAGTATAATATAGTTAAAATTATTTGGGATGAGTCGGGTCAGAGTTTTTTAACCTCAAATTCAGTTTCGACTCGAAATTGATTTTTTTTACATTCTACAAGATCTTACCCAAACCCAAAATTCTTTTAAAAAATTTATTTTTATTGAACCGAGTCGAATCGGAGTCTATCATATTCGATTTAAATTGCCATCCTACTTGTACATATTCACATGCACGGCAACACATAATTAGTCAGCAATGTTATGGGCAATTAAGTTTTAATTATGACCCAAGTTTAAGGAAAATGAGTATATTGCTGATCTGGTGATAAATATATGTAAGGTAAACTACGTGTTTGGTAAATAAGACGAAAAATAACCCTGGAGAAACTTAAAAAAATAAATAAAAAGTGAAAGGCTGTAGTTTAGTTAGCTTCGTTGAAACCCCAGGATCTGATTTGTTTTAAAAGGTTAGTTTCCAATTCAAGTTCCTTTCATCTTTCTTTATACTTTTTTATGTATTTTGTTTTAATTTTTATGGTGAAATATGGGCAATTCTGTTATTGAATATCCGTTTGATTTAAATTTTTAGAATGGGTCTTAAAGGATAAGGTCAAATTTCAATGGGATGTTTGTTTTTGTTGATGGGTTCTTAAGGATAGTACATTATGATGTTTTTGTTTCCTCAAATTTATAGTTTATGTATATTAATTTGCTGTCAAACTTTGATCTTTTAATGATGGAAAAATGAATCAGGAAGGAACTAAATGGTGGACAATGCTATGTTGTTTAAATAGGGAATTTAAGTGCTATAATTTTAGGGTATCTTTCCTGAGTATTAATTTAGATTTTGGGGGGGGGGGTTCCCTATGAGATATTCAGTATGTTGGGGCCAGTTTTGAACTTAGGATCTAGGCTTTGGTTGAAGATCGGATGGAATTTGAAGTGCTGGATCTTTTAGAAGATGCTATTGACCTGATTCTTTAGGCAAAATGGGTTTAAGGGAGGTTTTAAAGTGATGAAATGGGAGTTGGGTCGCAATTGGATTGATTAGTTAATTACCTATTTTTCGTTATTTGCTAGAGTTTTAGTGCATTCTATTCTAGGACTTAATAATTAGAGTAGATAATGATTCTAAGCTCGATCTCAGCGTTCACTTAGGAATGCTTGAACTAGAGTAAGGTGCTGTTGCGGTATCAAAAATTTAGTGGAATTTGATACTATCATGATGTTCTTGCGGGGTTTATAGAAGTCTGTTTATGGCTGAATTGTTTATGGCTGAATTTGAAACTTTATTTTGGTCGGATCGGGTCTCGGATGGAGGTTCCTTTGTTCTCGGGTCGGGTCAGGTGGACCAAAAACCTGACCCATGACCATCCCTAATTGGGATGATTTTAACTTATGATGTTTATTAGCATGATTTTTATAATTTATTAAAATGAATAATCAATCAATAAAATTAAAATTTAATTTTTTAAAAAAATTTATAATATATTGCTACATGTAATTTATAAAACAAACTAAAATTAAGTAAAAAAGAAGAAGGGTAATATTGTCATTTTATATTATTGAAATAAAATTCATCTGACATGTCTGCAAACCAAACAAAATATGGAATTGGATTCCAATTCAATTTCTTGCCTACCAAACAGAATATGAAATTGGATTCCAATTCCTAACAGATTCCAATTCCTTCACAGATTCCAATTCCCTCAGAAACATTCCAGTGAACCAAATGCCACTTTAAGAGTCTTTAGGCTATGGCTTTAAGTCCTACACTGTTCTTAATTAGTTCAATCTATTTACGGGTTGATTTTATTTTATTTTATTCTTCCATTTGTATACTGAAATCTGAATGTATAATTTTCTGTATTTATTGAGGATTCTGTTATTATGATTGTTGGATAAAATAGCTTACTGCAAAACGAAATGATCATAGTTTCTACTTGTAGATATTAACATAATGAAAAAGAAGAAAGCTTTGTTATAATCGTGTCATGATCGGTGTTGTTAATGCACCTAGTCGCAGTTCGGCATTGCATTCCGGCAGATTGCATTTAATAATGTAATCTTTCTCTAGGACGATAGGCTGGGACAGACACAGAATCTTATACTGAGGGCGAACAAATAAAATTTTAGAGGGAACAAACTTATAAAACTTAACTACACGTACTGTGCTTCACTCGAGTGTCTCGTGCCATATACAAGTTCTAGTGCATCTAGTGCTCTTGGCAGTTCCTGTTATGTTCGAGTCTAGAAGTCACAGTTTGTTCTTTCTTTTCGGGAACCATCGACCGGTTTATTGGTTTATTATTGACGTGACTGATACACAGGCTGCTGAATGGATAAATAAAATGAATGGATCTGAACATGATGAAGTATTGGAAGTAGAACCAGAAGCTCGGCCAGAAAGGTCACTGTGACTATCTTCTATCATAGCCGTATTCTGTGTTCATGCACCATTCTGATCGGCTTATAACAGGCTTGGACTCGGAGCAAAGGTTCCGCGCCAATCGAAAGTTGGACTCTCTAATGACCCGGTTGCGAGAAAACTATCTTCCAAGTGGGGTGCTGGAAAAAGAAAAGCGTCCAAGAACAAGAACTCCACTACCCCTTCTTGTAAAGATCTGGTTGAAGAAGATGACGGTGACGAGGATTTAGATAGCCGAAGCAGTGCATTTTCTAGGAAGAGAGCCGGTCCTCCGACTTCACAATTACAGGTAAAGAAAAAACTGAAGTAACTTGTTGTCTTGAAGTGCCTGAATGTTGCAAAATGTTATGTACTTTCTAGTGTATTTAATTGACTTGTAAACACTTTTCCCAAATGGAAATATGAAAGAAATTTTGAAGCTTTTGTTCTTTAGATCAATGTATTAGTACTGTGTAAGATTCTTTTGAGAAATTACATTATAATGGTCCTCGTGTTTCCCTTTGTCCTCATTTTTGAGAAAATGCCCTTGTTTGTGTCTTGGGGGCGGGGGTGTTCATTAGAGCATGGCATTAGGTGAAATTTTGACCTGGCTTCTCTTGGGTAATTCAATGGTGTTCTTTATTAAGTTCCAAATGAATGGTTCTGTTTGAAAAACGTTTCAGATGCCCTTTTTTCCATTAATGGCTTGAATTTTATGGGTTTGGTTGCTGCCATTTACTAATAAATTCATGGGTGGTTGTTCTTTTATAGGACCATGCTTAATGAATTTTATGGGTTTAGTTGCTGACATTTACTAATAAATTCATGGGTTGTTCTTTGATAGGACCATGCTTTCCCATGGCATTTGACAGCATTTTAGTTGTCAACGTGGGCATGATGGCATGATGATGAGTTAGGTAACATATCAAAATTCAGACTTATTTAGGTAGTCAAAGGATCGTAAAAAGGCATAAGAGGTACCTATATTTTTGCAAAAAAAATCAATATGGTATTCGTATTATTTTTTCTTTCAATGTGATCCTCCAGCTCAGAAAACAAACACAATGTAGTCTTTTGACTAACGTTTTTCGTCTTTGACCGTTATAGTACTGACGTATCAATTCACAAATTATACTGATGTGACAGTCCATGATGTTGACATGACAATCTTTCTCCCGTTATTAATTTTGTCAATCTACTATGTCATCGCGTTAATCTATCACCTTAATTATTATATTAGTACCGTGAATTGTCATGTCAACACCGTAACAGTCATCAACGAAAAAACGTTAGTGGTCAATGGGTCACATTAAATTTATTTTCTAAGTTAAAAAACTAAATTGAGAAGAAAAAAATACAAAGACCACATTGATTTTTTCAAAAGTAAAGATACCTTATGCCTTTTTGCCTTAAAAAAATAAAAGAGCTGAGTTATATAGTTCTGCTTTTACCCTCATATTTGGTTTTTTACATGTTCGCTGTTATTATTTTCAGCAATCATAGCTTCTACGTGTGCATACATGGATACATACATACACACGCATATATATATATATATATATATTATCAGGGATATGAAATCTATAAAAGTAGTCAATCATTCCACACATATACACTCAAAGGAAGAAAAACAGTTGGCCAAACTCTAGGAGTGGATGAAATCAATCAAAGAAGACACCATTCACACAAGCAAATGCAAACTAAACACTATAAACTCCATCACTAAGATTTAGCAGTTTTCGAAATGACACTGCAGTGTAGTTATTGATTAAACTAAACCAAGAAAGGCCTCTGAAGTCAGGTGTTGGCTTTGCAATGGATCTCTGCACATGAAACAATAAGCTTCGAAGTCGCTAGTAAGATCTCCAGGTTGATGGTTATTCAACGTGGCAAGATTACAAAAACGCAGTCGTTGCATCTGATAAAAAGACTTGGAAGGGAGAGTTAAATGAATCCCTTCTCGCTTGTTGGACTTGATTAGCTTGCTTTTCTCCCATTCCAACCTTCGGAGAGAGGCATTATTCGTATGAAGTATGAACAAAACCGAGTCAACTGCCCTGCACAAGTTGATGTCACTCTTCTAGCCCTCCAGCATGATATTCACGTTCAGGGCTTACATTTATGTAGCTTGTGATGGTGTCTTCGACTAAGTTGTCAAGGATATCTTCAGCAAGCTCAATACTGATAAAATCTGCATCGAGTCGAAGATCCATCCATGTTCCCGACTTGGACAAGTCTTTTCTGACTACCTGGTCCAAACTACGAGGCAGTGGCATCGGGAACACGTGCCAATAAACTCTTTGCCAGATCTCTTCGATGGTATTTTTCATGTTCGGGAGAGGCCGGATGTTAGTTTTAACAAATGACATGCCGGGGGAACCGAAATAATACCCGCATACCTCCACGAGAACTTCGTTAATGCAGTCAAAGAGCAGTTTTTTTTCATGACAAAGTTGGTTGGGTAAGTATTCTACCTCATCGAGCAACAAAGGGTCAAGAAGCTGGTCCGAAGAAAGTGACCTGATGTAGAGTTCGTCCCAGTCGAAACTTGAGGCTTGTAGCACTGCCTTTACATGCTCAAATACCGTTTCCTTGTCATCCATACAAGTTTTAAAACGACTACTGATGTTTTCTGAAGAACCATGTTCTTCGAATCGAATTCTTAACGGTTGGATGGATGTTTCACCTGAGGATTGGTAAAAAAAATGGCATTATCCTAAATGTGGCACAACAAAGTTGAAAACAAATTCAGGATATGAAATGAACATAAGGCTTTTCTCAAATGCCTACCAGAAATTGATCTGAAGCTAGCAGGGCTGATAACGTCATCTGCGAATATTGGCTCAAGAACAGATACCGGACTTGGCCGCTCCTGTATATCTCTAACACTCTCTAGACCTTCAACCTTTTTGGCGACTGGCGAATTTGATGGAGATGCTAACGGAGAAAATGGCTGTTGGTCCTCTTCAGACAACTCCTGGAGATAGAAAAAACGAAAACCAGTAGGGCGGGATGTAACTTATACAGTTCATACAACAAATCGTAACAGCGACAAGATAATTAGAAGAGCCTCTATTTTTCGAGCATTGCGAATATTCGTCACTATGAACTACTTTATCACATCACAATATATATACACAAGCGAGTGGCGTTACTCTACCTGTTTCGAACATTCCGGATATTGTTTTTCATTATGAACTTCAGATACACCAACAATTTTGTCATCTCTAGTAATTGAAGAGTCACTTGCCCCATAAGAGGTATCTGAGAGCTTAGTTTCTTCCTGAACCATCATTTCCGTTTCTTTAACAGTACTCACAGCACCTGCATAATTGTTTATGAAGATGAACTATTAATAAACCTCAATATTCATGATTGCATCATAAATTAAATAGATGCAAAATGATACCTCCACAACTCGTCGTTTCATCTTTAGTAGAACGATCATTTTGATCCCCACTCTTATCATTCACAAAAGTGTCAAGTTTATCTGAAAATATATCATCTCCTTGGACTATATCATCGGTTTTGTTATCTGAAATGCAAAGCTGGATCTCCAGATCCTCAGCTGCTTGAGTTGTATGACTGACATTGTTGAGTTCATTGTTTTCATCCAGTTTCAGGAATTTGTCAGAGCCAGTAAATCTCGTCGGTGGAGTTATAAAACTAGGCTCCGAGCTCCTTCTAGGGCTGCCTACAGGGGAAGAGTTATAATCAGGGAGACCGAGAATACTCCCCAAGGTTTTTGGGACCTGTCTGCTTGAAATATCCACACTGTTGCCTCCATTTGTTAGCATCTCGGAGAGATGTTTCTTTGCCTCGATATATATGTTCGAATGCCTGGAAAAATTAGTCTCACAATCTGTACTCATTTCGGAGTCCTTTAGCTTTCTTGCCCTCTCTCCTCTTTTGAGAGTAGTGGAAGGTTTGGCAACTCTTTCAATAAAGAAATGATCTTTAGTTGGAGAATTCATTGTGATATATTCCTTAAATCCTCTGGCATCCCCCGGATTTCTCCGCTCACCCGGAACTCTTTTGGATATTTCATTGGTGGGGATTCTATGCTGCTCTCTTCCCATTGCATGTTTCCACTTTCTTTTTATTTCAGCCAGAAGAAAGTGGGAACCAGCTTTCTCATTTGGCTCTTGATGTCTGATGATGTGCTTAGGTTCCGGCAACGAGCCATGGCTGCTTCCGGTTTCAGGCGATTGTGAGCATGTTGTCGGCGCAGGCTTCAAAACTACAATTCTAGTGGAACCTTCAGAAATCTTATTTCCATCCGATAAGTCTCTTTCCTGAGACTTGGACCTTCTTCTAAAGAAATTCCGCTGTTTTCTATTAACAGGTTCGTTTGATTGTTTTAAACCAACAGGCTCCTTCTGAGAAAAGTTGGATCCGGCAAGAGGCTTAGACTCTTCATCTCGAGCATCCGGCAAGTCTTTAACATACTTCACCAGCAATGAGTTCGGATCTCGAAGAAGTTTCAAAAACAATTCCTCGTCTAAACTCAAAACTTGAAGTGCATCCATGACTTCTTTCGAGGCTTGGAGTTACCACCTTCCATAAATTGGTTCCTGTTGATAAGCTTCTGGCTTACTAAGAACTTGATAGCCTCACTCAATCTTTCTTCAAAACCATAACTCTTGGGGCTTCGCTGCACATGGTCTTTGGCAGGCTGGTCATGATTCACGCAATTATTTCGTTTTTTATCGATTTCCTGACAAAACTCCTCTACAAGATTGTCTACATCAAGACTGTTTGTAGGTTGTTTCTCGGTTTTATGCTGACAAGATACTTCCAATGCCAAGTTCTTGGCAGCATCGTCATCCAGATTGATACCGGAACTTTTCTTGCGAGTTTTGTTTTTTCTTTTCCGGTTCTTCCTTATGTTGTCTCCTTCCCCCGAACCAAACTCTTTTGCTTCATGTTCAGTATTATTTGCTTTTTTCTTAGTAACATGCTCACTCGACATTTCTTCTTCTAGGAGTGTCTTCACACTAGGCTTACATGTATCCGTCGCCCTTGCCTTCCCTTCACCCGAACTAGTTGACATGTCTAGTTTTTTTCCTGAATTTCCCATACCTGCAAAATTAAAAGAGTGCTCAGAACCAATGTTGCTCCGACTCTTCATTTTCTTCAGCTCCCTCGATGAAACACTTATTCGGACATGGGTATGTGAACATGTCCGATGTGTATGGGTATGTGAACATGTCCGATGTGTATTCGTAATCTGATATTCACAACTATGTCCGAGTAAGATAACTTCAAACCAAATTTCTAACTACATATAAAGAAAAGCACAGATTCAAGATATAATGATCCGAACGAGCCAAAAGATCTATAAATGCTACATGGACAATCCGAAAGGCCGCTTATAAATCACTTTTGCAACTTCAAACAAAGCAAAAATCCACTTCTAGTGAAAAATGCTTTGAAATTCCTTAAGAGAACTTACCGGCTGCATCCTCATTCTCCCGTCTTCGATCCGAAAGCAGTCTCTGAGTCATTCGACCATGGCGGAAATCGAACATAGTGATCAATCCCCAGATACAGCCCAACTGATCCTTCTCGTATTGAAGACGGCGACTATTCGATCTTTTCCCCATGATAAATAGTCTTTATTCGAGATTATAATGCTCACGGAATCAAAAATAAAAGTTCGCTGAGGCGACTCCGAATCTGATAAACAGATAGAATCAACAGTTGGGACATAACAAGGAGACCCAACACAACATAAGAACAAAGGAGACAAAGGGGCACATCTTGATCATAGAATTCATGAAATTGCAGACAAATTCATCATTCACAACAGATGCATCACATGACTGATCTGCTAGAAACTGGACATTGATAGTCAAAAAACCAGACAAATCCTTGAACAGATCAGGCTTTAGAGACACCAGTTCATAACTTTCCTTAAACAATGCTAAACCCTTTCCTCGTAAGCCCTTTTCTTACTCGAATATGACTCTAATTTCCTTCATGCAACACCCAAATCATAATCCATTAATGTTACATAAACTCGAAAAAAAAAGTGTAGAATCAGAAAAGAAAAATAAGACCCCCAAACCAGAAAGAACAAGAAGAGAGCAACATACACAGAAAATGCAGCTGATGTGTTATTACTATAAAAGGTTAAAAAATAATAAAAAGATCCAATTTCAACAACTCAAGTTTCCCTAAAGTGGAGTAAACCACAAGCTTCACAGGGCAAAAACTTCCTTTGGATGCCAAGGTATATCATTAAAGTACCTTTCGTTTTGCCTTAAAACCAGTGGAAAAAAAACCGGTGCCTCAAGGCTCAAGGAAATGGTTAACTTCTTTTTCCCTCCCTTTTTTCTTGGATCTTCACTTCAATGGAAAGGATCAGCTGAAACTGAAGATTACAGATTGATGAGCTCTTGAAATCAACAAAAAGACAAACAAAATCATCAACTTGGGGAAGTGATCAAAGTCTTTGATAGAGTGTGCTCCTTGAAGACTGCTTTTTTTTTTTTTTTTTGAATGGCCTAAAGCTGAATTCCCATAGATGAAAAAGGTCAGAATCAAACTATTTTTGTTCAATTAGCATACTTGAAGTGCTTCAAAAACTGGGTAGTTTCTCTTTTTTGTCATTTCCAATGAAAAAAAAAGAACTCTCCTTGAATGCCATATCTCAAATTACTTCTTCCACTGGTAAGCACCCAATAACCAAGCTTTCCATGAACACCCAAATCAGTATTTTGTTGAAAAAATATAATGAAATACAAATCAAATATGATCCTTTTTTCTTTTTCAAGGAAATTTCTACTCCAATTCTTCAACCTCAGAAGCTAGAATCTAGCACAAACCTTCCCACAAACAAACAAAAAAACAGAGTAAAAAAATTAAAATTGGAATATAAGAAATAACAGTAATCAAAAGAGAGGAGACGAGGAGAAAAAGAAGTTGTGGGTGGTGATGGTAACATGTTTTGACAACCAAAAAACAGGAAGAAAATAATGGCTTTTATCGAGCACCGGCCCTTGAATTCTTCATGAAGAAAACTGGAGATTGGCAGGCATTATGAACCGGGAAAATCAGGTGAAAACAATACTAGTTACGTTGTACAGTAATCTTAATATACTGATAATAAATATCATATCGAAAATATTATTATTTTTTAATATATCTGTTAAATCATTGTCTAAAATATTATTTTTTTATCGAAAATGTTATTTTTGCTAATTAATTTTTTTTGGTAGAATTTAATATTAATATTTTTAGTAAAAAAAATAATGTTTTAGGTATCACTTTACCGGAAATAGTAAACATTTTAGGGAGCGTCTAATATTAACATTTTCGATAAAAAAATAATGTTTTAGATAACGTTTTACCGGAAATGTTAAAAAAATAATAATATTTTCGATAGTCTTTCCTTAGCCGTATATTAAACTGGGAATTTAGATTTAATTCGAAGTAATTTTATAGCTTGAGTTACTATAAAAATATGAAATTAACTAATTTTGATATGATTTAATTTGATAGAATTATATTTTAAAATTAAATTTTGAAATATAATTTTTATTAGAAATTTTAGGGTTAAATAGGATTAGATCAGTTGGTAAAGGTTTAAATTTGTACAGAACTACAAATATAGATTGTCAGTATATATTTAGTATGGATACACGTGTCTTATTTTTCTTATTATAAATATTGAACTTATTAAATATACTAAAAAAATTAAATATAGTATCAAATATACTATATAAATTATTTTCATTGTGTCATGTTTAAATATTATTATTTTTTTAAAATATTAAAAATTAATTAGTCCAGTGAAATGAAAAATTAAATCTATAAAGTAAGATCAAGGATTTAGATCATACGTTATGAATATAATAAATTACATTGAGAGAATTATCTCATTAGAATAATCATTTTTATAATAAATATCCGTAATAATCAATCAATAGATCAAATGTAATATTAAAAGTTCAAATTATAACATTATTAATAGAACAAATTTAATTAAAAAATAGTCTCCATATAGAATTAAATATTTAATTAATTTATGGGATGCTTTACTTCAATTAGTAAAGGTTAAGATCTTGAGATTTTGAATATTTTGAGTAAGTTTATATGTTATAGTATATTGTTTTTCTTTTTGAATCGACAATGAATTATTTTAGTAGGATGAAACACTAGATCCTTTAAATAAAATTAGGAGTTCAAATTTTAACGTTTTGTATATGGGACAAATTGGATTGAAAATGTCGCCCTCACCTCTATAGTACTTGTTCGGATTAATCAATTAAGAAATCATATATCAATAGTTATATAAAACATATTGCTTTTTGAAAAGATTTAGATTTAAACTCACATACATATATAAATTATACTGTTTGAACTCGTATCACTAAAAGAGAAATTCCCTTTAATCATTGAAATCATTCCAAAAATTTATATTTTTAAATATATTTCACATATTAATATTTTAATTAATTGAGTTAATTGTAGAGGAGGAGGTCAATAAACTATTATCTCATGTTGAATTAATCTTTGAACTTAAAATATTTTTATGTTGGTCCCTAAACTATGACTTTTATTTTAAATTGGTCATTGAATTTTAAAATATTCTACATTAATCCTTAAACTATCAATATCAATATATTTTGATCATTTTGTTAATGTGTCATTGACTCTAATGGTTTTTTAAGGTCTTAAGAAATGAACACATGATTGTTGATGTGAACAATGAGGTTGTGACAGTCGTATATTGTTCACCCATTTTGATTTAGACGAAGAGTCTTAATTGATTTTTTTAGGATGTGTAAAAGATGTTAAGTCGAGAAAGAGTGATAAAGAAGACGAATAGTTCTGAAGGGTTGATATCTCTTTCAATCTTACATGAGGCTTATATATATTAATCTACATTGTTGATGTCAGGCCTGAAGTTATCATAGTTATTCTACGACTAACATAGTACATGAATACAACCGTTAATGACCTTGTCAAGTGTTTATGGTTGGACGATAGATATGGGACACCCAAATGCTTCGTCTTATGGAATAGTTCGATTGAAGGTTGTGATAGGCGGAGAGATTGTTGTTCGCGAAGGAGTATATATGGAAGTATAACATTTGTGTTGCTCACGAAGATGTATCTTCGGAGATATAACATATTACATTTTTTTTATTAATCTAGGGTTCTTACAAGTGGTAGTATATATTCTAAAGACTCTAAATCATTTGACAATAAACGCTCAAATACTCTGCAATCGCTAATGCTCAAACCCAAAATCTTTATATTCCTTTAACCACTAAAATTATTTGATTCGTGCTACTTTCAACCATTAAATTAATTATATCTTTACAAATATGTATTTATTGTTCATTGTAAATGTACTCATATGGGTATATGTATACCTACCTTTATTTTAAAGACTATCCCTAGACCAATAAAATAAAATTGTTACATGGAGTACAAGTAGAGTATTAGTGCAAATTTTATGATGGAATTATTTTGAATTTAAATATTCTAAATTTTATATTAGTTATTCATTAGGATAAATAGTATGTTTAGTCATTCATCTATTCTATTGGTTCTGTTTAATCACTAAATTTTTGTATCAAAATTATACTCAACGTTACGTTTTAATTCTATTCTGGTCATTTTTTTAAAAATATTTTATTATAATTTTATTTATTTATTTAATAAGATCAATTATTCTTATTACTTTAAAAAAATACAAGCGTCGAAGGCAAGGGGATTGCTTGTGGGGGGAAAATGCAAAAGCAACATTTTTCCGAAAGCAATGAGCTTTAATGGTTGACCAATGCGCATGTGATGTGAGGAGCCGGCGAGGAGCAGCTGGGCCGGCAACCGGCCGCTCCACCCTCCCCAACTCTCACCTATATCCTACAATTTTTATACCAGTATATATTTTGTATCATAATTATAATTTACCGTATATATAAAATAAGGTTAAGTACACAAATCGATCGGTACTATTTTATAAAATCTTTCGACTATTAAAAATTACAAAATAATCATTCGATTATAGAGTGTTGTTTTATTGAGTCTCTCAACTATTAAAAGTTACAGAATAGTCACCGACTATAAATTATGTTCCATACTCATCCTTTTCTGTTAAAAAAATTGACGGTATTCTGAGTTGAACGTTAATCTATTGGTTGTGATATGATAAAAATTGATCTCATAATCTCAAACAATTGTCATATCTCAATCATCATGATAATGTCCAGTTTAGATAACCGTCAATTTTTTAACGGAAAATGACGAGTTTGTGATATGATAAATAGTTGGGTGACCATTTTATAATTTTTAATAGTCGAGGGACTCAATAAAGTAATATTCTATAGTTAGAGAACCATTGTTTTAACTTTTAATAGTCTATGAACTTAATGAAACAATATCCTATTATCGGGGACCATTTGTGTACTTTACCCTAACTTTTTTCATGTAACCCAGAAATAAAGCATATAAATGGTTGGCATTTAGGTGATAAGGTGAGGTCATAATTTACATTAATTTGCATTTAAGAAACCAATTTATAAACTATGATTTTATGGCCATGAAAGTTCATGAAGTTGGTGGTTGTCTAGTGAGAATTGATATCAATTTGCTAAAGCATATTTGTCTAAACAACCCCTCCCTTTTTATTATTTATTTATTTAACTAATCCACTTTTGTT